CGTGGCTACCATCATGTTTTCCCATCGCCCCTGTGCCCCCTGCTCCCACTGGCACTCCTGGAGCCGGCTGGGTGGGACTGCGGTGGGCAGGCTCCCAGGAAAACCCCTGGGCTGGGGCAGGGGATGACCCCAGCGCAGCTGGGAGCATCCTGCACACCCACCCACAGTGGGGCTGCCCCCCAGGCAGTTGTGCTGGGATGGGGGCAGGTAAAGCATCTCTTCAGTAGAAAAGAAGACAATAAGGCAGAAGAAGGACAGAGCAGAGTGCAGGGGGTACCCCGTGCCAGGCTGGGGCCTCCCCCAGTCCAAACCAGTAGGACCACTTGGCTGTGGCCATCCCCACGCAGCAGCGGGGACACCCCCCAGCTAGGCAATAAGGTCTCGGTGTTTCCCATCCCTCCCTCTCCATCCCCGGCAGAGCAGCGGGTCCTATTCCCCCTACCCCAACCCCTGGTGGCACTGGGGCCAGTCCATGGTGGGGGCAGTCCGGGGCTAGAACTCAGTCTGCACCCCCTCACCACTCTCCGTCGTGCCCACGCACTGCAGGGGGCTGCACTCGCCACCCGGGGGGGCCACCTCCTCACCCGTCTCCTTGTCACTGGGTTGGTGGCAAGCCATCCTGGCACACGGTGACGGGGTCTCCGCTCTGGGTGTGGGCGATGCTGGTACGGCGTGGGGCACCTTGGCCTCTGATGGGACATCAGCTCCAGGCACGGGTGATGCCGGCACATCTTGAGGCATCCCAGCTCCCAATGGTACGTTGGCTCTGGGTTTGGGTGATGCTGGGGTGGTGTGAGCTGCACCAGCCCCCGACGGAACATCAGCTCCAGGAACGGGTGATGCCAGCACAGCTTGAGGCATCCCAGCTCCTGCTGGGACATCGTGTTGGGGGGTGTTTCGCCAGCCGCCCTCCCGCCGCCGGGACATCGGCTTTGGGTTTGGGTGATGCTGGGGCGGCGTGGGCCACACCAGCCCTGGATGGGACATCAGGTGCAGGTGATGCCAGTGCAGCACAGTGCACCCCGTCCCGGTCGCT